ATTCCCAGCACTCAGGAGACAGAGACAGGCGGATCTCTGTGAGTTCAAAGTCAGCCTGGTTTACAGAGCAAGTTCCAGGGCAGGCTCCAAAGCCCCAGAGAAACCCTGCCTCGAAAAAATAAAAATTAAGAGAAACAAGGAAGAGGAGGAGCAACAAGAGAAGAAGGGGAGGAGGACATCAGGACCCAGCCAGTCACCCAGCCAGCCACATCATAAAAGTAAGATATACATCAATAGAGAAGCTAAAAGCCCAGAGGCAAAAGGTAACTGGGATAATTTAAGATGAGAACAACTGGCTAGAAACAAGCCAAGTAAGGCAGGGCATTCATAACTAAGAACAAGCCTCCATGTGTGATTTGAGAGCTGGGTGGTGGGCTCCCCAAAGGTCCAAAAAGCTAAAGTGTAAAAGAGCAAAAACCCTCACACTACAGCAGCCCTCTTCCAGGTTTGTACACATCTATTCTGTTCGGTTTATGGTCTCTGTGAAGCCCTAGAGAAAACGTTTTTTTATCTCCTGGCCCATGTTAGAGGGGAACCTTGGCAGGGAATGCGACTTTCACCATGTGTTCACTTCCAATTCCTGGGTATAACTTAGAAATATTCAGGAGACTCAAGACATAGCTGTGTGTCTTAGATACATTTCTATTGCTGTGATCTGAATGGCAGAATTTTTCTCTTAACTGTTGCAAGTTGTTTTCTGCCATCCTTTCAGGCTAAGATTTGGAGCCCTGCTCTCTTACCCAGCAGGAACACAGCAGGCTGAGAGTCCGTGCTGGGACAGTGGAGGAGACCGCAGCTGGCCTCCGGTCCACTCAGCCTCTGACAGTGTCAGCTGTGGGGCCCTCCCTGGCAGCATGGTGGACTCACAATCACTCCTGTGAGCTTTCCTTCCACCATTATTCCAACCCCGGTCCCAACCTTGGTTCCTCCAAATCTTGTTCTGTGGGGGTACATGAGACTGAATGCTGAGCCCTGAGCATCACTCACCCCCTCAACAGAAGGCAAATGTCAGCCGACTTGTCCTCTTTATCCAACTAATGGGACCTGGCTGAGGACAGCTGAGAATCTGAAATGGGCGAAGTTACTAATAAAATTGTGTTTGTGTGTGCGTGCGCATGTGCGTACGCACACACATGGGTACAGGTGCCTACAGAGGCTAGAAGAGGGAGTGGTAAGGTCCTCTGAAGCTGGAGTTGCGTGTGGGGGTGTGAGCTGTCCAGTGTGAGTGCTGGGAACTGAACTCGGGTCACCTGCAAGAGAAGCACAAACAAGCCATTAATTGTCGAGCCATCTCTCCAGGTCCCGGTGTCCACTCTTACTTTCAAAAGCTTTAGAACTTGCCGTGACCATGCTTAGCTGTATTTCAGCATTTGAGAGAATGAGGCAGGAGGGTTGTAAATTTGATGCCAGTCTGGGTACACAGCAATACAGCCATCTAACCCAAACAAAGGAATGGAACTCCAACTGAATGGCAGTTTAATGGTTTTACATTATCATTTATTTTATGTGTGTGTGTGTGTGTGTGTGTGTGTGTGTGTGTGTATTTAATGTAAGAAAGAAAGGCATTTTTGGTGCAGGAGAGATGGCTCAGGAGTTCTGAGTTCAATTCCCAGCAACCACATAGTGGCTCACAATCATCTGTAATGAGATCTGGTGCCCTCTTCCGGCCTGCAGAAATACGTGCAGAAAAAATACTGCATACATAATAATAAATCTTTTTCTTTTCTTTTTTCTTTTTCTTTGAGACAGGGTTTCTCTGTAGCTTTGGAGCCTGTCCTGGAACTAGCTTTTGTAGACCAGGCTGGCCTCTAACTCACAGAGATCCGCCTGCCTCTGCCTCCCGAGTGCTGGGATTAAAGGCGCGCGTCACCACCTCCCGGCCAATAATAAATCTTAAAAAAAGGCATTTTCAGCCGGGTGGTGGTGGAAGGTTGTTTCTTTGTTGTTTTCGAGACAGGGTTTCTCTTCTGAAGCGTCTGGATACAGCGGGAGATGGTTGAATGGTTGAAAGGCTAAAAAGCACTGCTGCTTTGGCAGATGGTCTGAGCTGTGTTCCCAACACCCACATGGCAGACCACAGTCCTGTGTGTAACTCTGGTTGCAGAGGATCTGATGGCCTTTTCTGACTCCCAAGGTTGCAAGGCATTGTGCCTGGTGAACATATTTTAAGAAAACAAATCCTGCTGGGCCTGCCGGGCGGTGCCTTTAATCCCAGCACTCCGGAGGCCGAGGCAGGCAGACCTCTGTGAATTCAAGGTCAGCCTGGCCTACAGGAGCTCACTCCAGGACAGCCAGGACTGTTCCCTGTCTCAAAAAACAAAAATCAACCAACCAACCAAACAAACAAAAACCACTCAAAAACATGAAAACAGATCCCTTCACATTAGAGGCTTGGACCTCTAATCTTCAGCACAGGGTGTGTAGATGCAGTGTTTTTTCACATAAGATCCCAAAGTAAAAATAAAGTAAATTTTAATCCAAGAGGCCTTTCTCATTTGACAGCAACACATAAAATTTTTGTTTTTAAGGAATTGTTGGGTCAAGCTGGGCAGTGGTGGCATACGCCTTTAATCCCAGCACCTGGGAGGCAGAGGCAGGCAGATACAAAAATCTTATCTCAACAAACAGAAATTGTTGTAATCCCACCATGCAGGAGGAGGGGGCAGGCACATCTCCATGAGTTTGAGACCACCCTGCCCTGTCTCAGATGCAGACTTACTCTGTGGCCCAGGCAGAACTCGAATTTGCAGGCCTCCTGTCTCAACTGCCAAGTGGCAAGGACAAAAGAAGCAGAGTACTGTGAGTAGGAGCCCACCCAGATTATAGGGTGTGAGCCTATCTCAAAGAAAAGAAATCTCTCGGGGTGTGGTGGTGCACACCTTTAATCCCAGCCCCAGGGGGCAAAAGCAGGATGGTCTCTGTGAGTTCAAGATCCACCTGGTCTAGTTAGTGAGCTACAGCGAGCTCCAGAGTGAGGCCCTATCTCAAAAACAAAAAAACAAAAAACAAGAACAGCCGGGCATTGGTGGCGCACGCCTTTAATCCCAGCACCCAGGAGGCAGGTGGATCTCTGAGTTCGAGGCCAGCCTGGTCTACAAGAGCTAGTTCCAGGACAGGCACCAAAAGCTACAGAGAAACCTTGTCTTGAAAAAAACAAAAAACCAAACCAAAACAACAACAACAAAAAAACCCTGATCCCCTTGATTTCAACTCTTTGAGCTGTGGGATTACAGGTATGCCCTGCAGCGTCCTGTTTAGTTAAGTATAGTGCTTGCTGGACAGAGAATTTTGAGGCTGCTGGGCAGCAAGCACTCTATAAACTCAGTTCCCTTTCCGGGTCCCTTGTCACAATATTAATGTATATAAGCCATCCTCCTGCCTCAGCCTTCTCAGTGGCTGTCACAGCAGGTGACTTGTAGAGCATTCAGCTCAGTCCCTAATTCCAGGACATGTTCATAATTATTGTCAACAATATTTCCAGCTTTATACTTTCTACGTCTATTGCCAGGCACAGAGTAACATCCCCCTCCCCCCACCGACTCACAGTTAGAACTAGGAGGGCCACAAATGAATATAGTTCAGCCAGGTCTGTTGGCTCACAACTGTAACCATTCCAGGAAGAAGGCCGAGGCAGGAGAATTGCTAAGAGTTGGCGTTTCAAACCAAGATGGGCAAGACCCCATCTGGGAAATGTTAAGTCTTAAACCTTGGGACGAATGGCTGATGTGCCTATTTAACATACCAAAATGGACAGGGCACTGGGTTCTCCCGCATCCCTCAGTTCCTGATTGTACCCTCTACCCCAGTGTTTGGGGTGCCCTTCTCCCAGAGGTTCTTCTCAATGCAATCCAGTTATTTTGATTACCTTCCCCACACCCCTTTTACTTATTTTATATTTTTGGACTTTTTGCCCTTGTGACTGCAGCAGGACCTGGTTTCCTGTCTCCCTCCCTTCCTCTCTCCTGGTTCCTCACCTGGCTCAGGGTCCTGTCCCCTCTGGACTCTCCCAGAAGTCTCTACCTCCGGCTATGCTCTCCTTTTATCTACAGTAACCTTCTCCTCCACCAGGTCTAGGAACAGTCATACCTTTTTCTTTTTGTATTGTTCATTCAGGAAACCAAAAATGTAGTGCATAAATAAGTAAAACAAATACATAAACCAAACTCCATCATACCTAGGAACACTAACGTCCTTTCCTTTTTATTTTTACTTTTTTCATTTAAGGAACAAATCCAAAATGAAGGGCATAAGTGGTAGTGATTGAGTTTTTGACTTTCACAGAATCAAGGTTTGGTGGTTTTTTGTTTTTTTTTTTTTGTTTTTTTTTTTTGTTTTTTCGAGACAGGGTTTCGCTGTAGCAAGCCTGTCCTGGAACTAGCTCTGGTAGACCAGGCTGGCCTTGAACTCACAGGGATCCGCCTGCCTCTGCCTCCCTAGTGCTAGAATTACAGGCATGCACCACCACCGCCCAGTGTTTTTTAAATTTTTAATGGTGTTTTTTGTTTCATAAACAATGTTTCACTATGGTGATCTGGCTATATTGGCGGTCTCTGTGTAGAGCAGACTGGGTTCGAACTCACAGTGATCTGCCTGAATAGGCCACCGGAGGGCTGAGATTAAAGGTGTGCACCAGTCACCATTTCCCCTCGGCTTTCAGGTTTTTTGTTTTTTCCTCTCAGCCCTAGAGAACTTGGCATTGAACACACAGACTTCGGCCTGTCTCTGCCTCTAGAGGGCTGGAATCAAAGGCATGTGTCCTTTCGCGAACTTTTCTGGTTTTTTATTTATTTATTTTTTGTTGTTTTTGTTTTTCTCTATTGCACAGAGCATTTGTATCGAAATCCAGAGCCAGAAAAAGCCGACAGGGCGGAGACTCAGTCATCCAATCGGGTAACAGCTTGTGGTTGGCAGGCGGGGCTACAAACCGGAAGTATGAGACGGAATACGGAGGGGCGGGGGAAGCTTCAGACCGGAAGTGTAAGGCGGAACACGGGATGCGGAAGCTTCAGGACGGAAGTGTGAAGTGAAGATGGCTGAAAAGTCTTCAGAGGAGCCGGGAAAGACACTCACAGCCTTGGAGCGCGAGCTTGGAGTGGCTGCCTGACTCTTCTGGGGTTCTGAGTTCTGTAATTAGTGCTTGCTCCTGGTAAGTTAGTGACCTCCATCCGTGCACACTGATTCAGGGGCATTGGACTCAAGGTGTCAAGCTTTGGGCTTACTAATAAGTTTGCCATCATCTTAAATGTCTTTCGCACATAATCTGTTGGTTTCATTTTTATTAATTTTTTTTGAGGCGGGGGCGGTAGCCTGTGCTGCCCAGGCTTGCCTAGAATGTAGCTCAGGTTGGTCCAGAAATCAAACATTCCACCTCCAGCCCCCACTCCCAGTTCCCGCCTCAGCCTCCGTACTGTTGTGTGTTTACCAGTGTGTTTCACCAACCTCTGGTTAATATTGAATTATTTTTTGTTTGGGTTTTGAGACAAGGTTGTACTCCGTAGCCGAGTGCCGTTAAACTCCTGGCAGTTCTGCTTCCTCCTCCCCATTCTGGAACTCGAATAGCGTAGTTACTCGAATATCTAGAATTTTGCTTTCATTTGTATCCGTTTAAAATTTATGTTCTTTGGTTATTCACATAGGGTCTCAGTCTCTAGGATGGCCTCAGACTGCCTCATCCTCCTGTTAGAGTTGTAAACAGCCTGGCGGTGGCGGCGCTCGCCTTTAATCTCAGCACTCTAAAGGCAGAGGCAGGAGAATCTCTTGAGTTTGAGGCCTGCCTGGTTTATATGGTGAGTTCCAGGACACCCAGATTCACTATTTAAGGCTTAAATTCCCTTTCATTTTAGAGATAGTCACATGCAGAACAGATTGAAGTGGAACCCACAATTTTTGCTTGAAATAGAATCTTTGTAGCCAAGGATAATCTTTAGCTCACTATATAACTGGGGCTCTTTTTTTGTTGTTGTTTGGTTTTATTTGTTTGCTTTTCATGTCCCCCCCCCCCACGGTTTCTTTGTTAATCTCTGACTGTCCTGAATGCTTTGCATACCAGGCTGGACTCACGCCTTCCTCCGCCTCTCTGAGTGCTGGGCCTAAAGGCGCCAGCCACCACTGCCTGGTTGGCCTTGAACTCTTGATATTCCTCCCAAGGACTGGGTCACAGGTTATAAGTCTGTCGATGCCTACAAAATAGAATAAAAATTTTAAGTCGCATATGATGGTACTTAAAATTTTTATTTTATTTTGTAGGCATGGTCTTATGTAGTCTAGTCTGACCTTAAGTAACTGATCTTTTTAATTCTACCTCATTAGTGTTTGGATTTTATTTATTTATTTTTTTCATGACAGGGTTTGTCTGTGTATCCTTAGCTATCCTGGAACTTGCTCTGTAGACCAGGCTGTAATGAGAAATGCCCATTGAATGGAATTTTTTGTTGTTATTTGGTTATGTTAAGTTTAAGATTGACAAGTCTTGCCGAGCTCTAGTGATGCACACATTTAATCCCAAGCACTTGGAAGCCAGAGGCAGGTGGATCTCTGTGAGCTTGAGCCTAACCTGGTCATACAGAGTGAGTTCCAGTACAAACTCCAAAGCTACACAGTGAAACCCCATCTTGAAAAAGCAAAACAACGAAACAAACAAAAAGACTTTTGAGTCTCATAAAGTCTCATTAATTCCAGACTGGTCTTGAACTGCTGACTTTCCGACTCTACATTTGGTTAATTAGTTTGCAGTCCCTCAAATTATACTTCTGAAGTTGTGTGGCTATATAACTTGAAGTTTCTTTACAACAGTACTGGGAATGAGCTTTGGTAACGCAAGACATCTCATCTCTTCTGGGGACTGAAGCTGTAGGAATGTGGTTGATTCAGCCTGGTCAATTTAACAAGACTGCCTTTCAAACGAAAACAAAGCTAGGTGGGCTGCTAGCACTCTTGGAACCATAGCACTAGGGACACAATGGAGAAAGAAAGCCCAGTTCCAGGCTGTCGGGTACACAGAGTGACCTTGTCTCTACACGAAGTGAAATAAATGTGTTAGAAAATGTGTTGGAAGTGTAGTTTAATGTCAAGCACTTGTCTAGCATGGGCCAGGCCCTAGGATGAGTGCCCAGTACCTCAAAATTATTTTGTTATTTTTAAATTTTATTTGTGTATGGATGCTTTTGCCTGGTGCTCAGTTGTCCGGAAGATCAGCCAGTTTTTTTTTTTTTTTTTTTTTTTTTTTTTTGTCAAAGTTTTTGTCTAGCTTTGGGGCCTGGAACTAGCTCTTGTAGACCAGGCTGGTCTTGAACTCACAGAGATCCGCCTGCCTCTGCCTCCCGAGTGCTGGGATTAAAGGTGTGTGCCACCACCACCTGGCTAGCTCCTCCCCCACCCCCACGCCAAGATAGGGTTTTTTTGTTAGGACAGTCCTGACTTTACTGGAACTTATGCTGTAGACCAGGCTGGCGTCGAACTCACAGAGATCCGCTTGTCTCTGCTTCCCAAATGTTAGGATTAAAGATGTGTGCCGCCACCACCCAGGTTTAAAATTTTTTTTTTAGATTTATTTATTTTACTTTATGCTTACATGCATGTATGTGTGCCACATGTGTGCCCATTGAATCCCCTGGAACTGGTGCTATGTTACAGGTAGTTGTGAGCCATCATGCAGGTCCTGAGAATTGAATCTGGGTCCTTGACAAGAGCAGTTAAGTTACTGGGTAGTGGTGGCTCCAAAACTACAAAGAAACTCTGTCTCAAATATCCAAAATAAAAATAAAGAAATAAAACAAATATAATATGGGAAGGTTAGGCATGAAATTATAAAAACCTGGACGAAAGCGATCATGTAGCTCCCATGCCGTTACAGGACCGGTATGCAAACCGAACTAAGCTGAGACTTAAACATAGAGACAGGCGGAGAGAGAGAGAGATGGAGGGACACGGGCTATCCTTGATAGAAGAATGCCAAATGTCCCACTTTATTGTGCTCAGGGGCAGCTTATATAGGGATCCCTAGCCACACCCAGCTCTTGGGATCTTTCAGCTGCAGGTCCACCAGCCTGCTATCAAGCTGCTCATAGCAGCTGCAGGCAAAGAAAGTCAAGGGGCCAAAGGTGTGGCCATATGCTGTTTCTATATTTTAATGTTTGGTTCCCAGTTGGTGCAATGCTTTGGAAGGACTAGGAGATGTGGCCTCTTTGAGAAGGTATGTCACTAGGGGTGGACTTTGAGGTTTCAAAAGCCCATGCCAGGTCCTCCTTTTGCAGTGTGCTTGCAGATGGGTTGTAAGCTACTGTTCTGGTGCCGTGCCTACCTACCATGATGGTCTTGAATTAGCGTTCTGAAACTGTAGTCAAGCCCCCAACTAAATGCTTTTATGAGGTGCTTTGGTCATGGCGTCCCATCACAACAATAGAACAGTAACTAAGACAGGTGAGAAGTGGGGTTTCCTAAGACATAGCCTCTTTTATATTTCACCAGGTTATTTCAGGTTGAAGATTTGAAGAATGAGTGATCAGGACCCACCCACACTCCTGCAGCTGGCAGTGCAGAGCCTGCTGAGGGATGAAGCCCTGTCCATCTCTGCTCTGAAGTGTCTGCCCAGGGTGCTGTTCCCACCACTGTTCAAGGAAGCCTTCAACCACGGACAAAGTAACATCCTGAGGGCTATGGTAGCAGTATGGCCCTTCACTTTCCTTCCCGTGGGGACCCTGATGAAGACTTCCCACCTGGAGACCCTGCAGGCTGTCCTGGATGGAGTAGACATGCTACGAACACAGAAGGTGTTCCCCAGGTAAGCAAGATCCAGGTAGGGAAGAATGGTGGACACGGGTACAGGGGAAGGACATCTGGGGGTAAGGAAGAATGAGGTCAAAGGTAGATGAGAGGATATTGATGGTATCATCTTGGAAGATTGCAGAAGCCTTGACCCCTGTTGAGCCCCAATATAAAAGGACAGTTGGGTATGGAGTACATCTTAAAGCAGTTGTGGCCACAGTGAAACAAGCCTTACTCTGGCTCTCCCAGGTTCTAGAAGTGGAAGACTGAGTCAAGAGTCACTGCAGGGAGGAAGCAGGACAGTTCTGGTAAAGAGCCCTTACCTGGAAGGCATGAGCTGCTCTGGGAGACCCAGGACTGAGAAGCATAAACATACATAACAGCAGGGCACAGGTGTGGTGGTAGAGATGGAGAGGAAAAGCTGGCCTGGGTGTAGTCTTTTTTTGTTTGTTGCTGTTTGTTTTTCGAGACAGGGTTTCTATGACTGCCCTGGCTGTCCTGGAATTCACTCTGTAGACCAGGCTGGCATCTAACTCACAGAGATCCTCCTGCTTCTGCCTCAGGAATGCTGGGATTAAAGATGTGCGCCGCCACTGCCAGGCTGGGTTTGGTCTTTTGTATCTTCTACTGTTTCTACCTGTTCTGCTCACAGGAAGGGGAAGCTCCAGGTGCTCGACCTGAGGAATGTGCAGCACAACTTCTGGGATGTTTGGACTGGCACAGAGGATGGAGAGTGCTCAGCAGAGGCTGTGTGTGAGAAGCGAGTAGTGAACCGCTCTCCTAGATACGCCCTGAGGCGGCGTCTGAAGGTGGTCGCAGACCTTTGCCTCAGGTTCCATCTGAATGAACACCAAACGTACTTGTTACAGTGGGCCCAGCAGAGAAAAAGTTTCATACGGCTGTGCTGTGTGAAGATGCAGATCTGGGCATTGCCTGTGTACACTGTCAGGAAAGTCCTGATGGTTTTCCAGCCTGACAGCATCCAGGAGTTGGAACTGAATACGGGTTGGAGTTTGTCCACTCTGGTGCATTTTGTATCTTACCTGGACCAGATGAGAAATCTTCAGAAACTCCTTTTAACACGGATCCACAAGAACACCTTCAAGGTTCTAAATACCCCTGCAGACATACAAAAGTGTATCACTAAGTTTGTTTCTCAGTTCTCCAAACTCAACTGTCTGCAGCATCTCTCCATGAATGGCGTCTACTTTTCCAGTGAGCACATGAAACAGTTGTTCAGGTAAGGTGGGGTGGCGAGCGATTTCCTCTGACAATAGAGTAGTGGCTACCTGGGTGAAACCAGCCAGCCACTGGATTTCACAATCATGGAGTCACTGCAGCGTCTAAGTCAGGTTTTGTTTCTGTCTTAACTGATTTGGGAGCTCGGTGTGTTCAGTGGCCACTTATTAAGCAGAGGCTGAGCTGAGTAGGAGATGTGTTGAGCAGTCCTGCTAAAAGACCAGCTGGGGAAGGGGGCATCAAATGTAGGAAGTATGTGCTCTGTGTTCTTCCTTGGGATTCTGACTAAGATAAGGGGCAGGGAATAAGTCAGAACAGTGGGCCCAGAACTGGAGAGGACCCTTACCTGCACAGATCCATGGGGGAACTTGGTGCTTAGCATTTGTGTGTCTTCTAACTTCCCACATGTAAAATCCTTTTTTTTTTTTTTTTTTGAGCCCAGATAGGGCCTGAATAGAGATGGGTAGAAATGGGTGATACCGATTGTGTGGGTGAGGGGTAGAGATGAAAAACTGAATAAGGGCAGAGACCGTTCCGGGGGAGGCAAAAGATGGTTCAAGACTTCCAGATCTTTCATGGGTTAGTTTTTCCAGTGTGTGCCCTGGGCTAATGTGGCCAGCACAGGTTCTCTTCTTCATAGTAATGGAAGCTGCTACCCATGGACTGAAGAAGTCCCATTACTGGTACCCACAGGCTTCTCTCTCTCTGCCAAGAATGGTGAGACTCCCCAATAAGCAACATTCTGGATCCTGGATATTGATCTCCATTACATAGTCACATGACTTCTAAACAAGTGGTCACCTTTACCTCTATGCTCCCTCTAACAGCAGCTCTCTCCATCTCATTGTGCCAGAACTAATCTCTTGGTCTCTCCCTAGGTACCTGAAGACCCCTTTGGAGACCCTGTCCATCACTGTGTGCAAACTTTCGCAGTTAGACTTGAATTCCTTGTCCCAGAGTCAGAGTCTCCATCAGCTGAAACACCTGAATCTGAGGCTTGTGAAGTTAATTGACCTATATCCTATGCCTTTCCGTGATCTCCTAAACAGTGTTGCGGGCACTCTGCAGACCCTAGAGTTGGAGGGCTGCTGGATGGTGGACTCCCAGCTCATTACCCTCCTGCCTGCCCTGAGCCAGTGCTCCCAACTCACTAGGGTCAATTTCTATGACAATGACATCTCCATGGCTGTCCTGAAGGACCTTCTGTATCACACAGCCAGCCTCCACCAGCTGATCCAAGAGCTGTACCCTGCCCCTCTAGAATGCTATGATGACAGGGGTGATGTCCGTGTGGGAAGATTTGCTCAACTTTGTCCTGAGCTCATGGATACACTGATTACTGTCAGGCAGCCCAAGAGAGTCTCCTTTGCTACACATATCTGCCACAAATGTTGTCAGCGCTGTATCTATGACCTGGAGACCAGACTTTGTCATTGTTGGCGGTAAACGGGAAAGGTTGCTTCTTGATACTGAGAAGTGAAAGCCTAGCAATAGGTGTTTCATCAAGGGTACGAGTGGTTTCCTTGCATATATGCGTGTTTGGTGCTTGTGGAGGTCAGACGAAGGATTGGATTCCCTAGAATTGAAGTTACAGGTGGCTGTGAACTACCGTGTGCATCTGGGAATCTAACCTGGGTCCTCTGTAGGAACAGGTGCTCTTAGCACCTACTGCTAAAGTTCATGTATTTCTTCTATGTATAGTTCTGTCAGTTCTGTTCCTTTAACTCTGAGAGAATCCTGACTAATCAAAGGCAGGCAGACCTTGTCTTCTCTTCTGCCTGGGTGTCGGTTATGTCCCACTGTGGGTCTGCTTAGTGCTAGTGCCTCTGTGTACAAAGTTCAGCCTAAAACGAGCACTGCATTCCTATGAGGGTTTGGGGAATAGTCAAGGCGTTCTATCTAGTACATTTGTACTGGGAGGTCACAGATACAAGCCACATAGCTTGCTCCCTTTCTGTCTCTTTCATAGTTGTATATTGCGTAGGCTGGCCTTGAAATCCACCTGCCTTAACCTACACGCAGAGATTTCTGAAGTATGTCATGGTAAATCACATGTCTGTGGGGTGCTATTTGATGCTTCCAGCCCTCTGGCTGTCCCTAAGCATAAAGGTCTCCAGCATATGGACAAATGTCCCTGTCTTGTCTTAAAGGATTGATAGACTTTAAGAACTGTATTGTAAATGTCTGGAGTAAACCTGTTTTGTTAATGAGTGCCTAAGTCTACCCATTGCACTCCCCCCTGTATTTGTATTTGTAGCAATAAAGAATTTTGTTTCATGCCTTCTTTCTTGTTTTCATTTCTATATGTGTTAAGAATATAAGGGAGGCCCGGAAGATAGTGGTGCAGGCCTATAATCCTTGCAGTCGGAGAGGCAGGTAAATCAGAGTTTGAAGCCAGCCTCGTCTACAGAGCTAGTTCCAGGATATCCAGGACTGCATAAAGAAACTGTCTCAAAAACATGTATTTATATATGTATATATACATATATGTGGAGAACTGGAGAGATGGCTTAGAAGTTAAGATCATGTGGTATTCTTTTTTAAGATTTATTTATTATGTATACAACATTCTGCCTCTGGAAGAGTAGCCAGTGCTCTTAACCACTGAGCCATCTCTCCAGCCCTCAAGTCCCCCCACTATCAAGCCAGGCTTCTCCTGAAAGTGCTGAGATAAACACGGCCAAGACAAGTGCTGTGTCATGTACACATATACCCAACACTAAATATTAAAAAATACTTAGAACAATGGTCTGTTTATCTCAAGTTCACCTGGAACTCATGGGATTGTTTCTCTGCTGTCTCAGTGCTGGTATTAAAGGAATGTGCAAACCAGGGTGCAGTGCAAATGGGATTCCAAAGGTCCTTCAAGCTTCTGTGAAGGCTGGGCACTCCTCAGATTCCTGTACTTGGGAAGTAGAGGCAGGAGAGTCTGCAGCAAAAACAAAAGGTCTCAGGGGAGCCAGTGGAAAGGCCTGGAGTGCCAGCATCGAGGCTGCTGCCGGACTTGGAGTCTGTTCTGCTAAGCTGGTTCCATCTCTTTGCAGGGACTCAATGAGAACACAACCAACCCAGCCTCAGGCAGTCTTCTAGGTTGGTGTGCAGTCCGAGGTGATAGATTTTTCCTGTCCATTACCATTTTTTTTAACTTCAAAAATTTTTAACTTTAAATCATATTCTTCCTCTCCTACAAGTCCTTCCAGATCTTCTCCCCTTCACCCATCCAATTTTAAATTCTTTCTCAAAAAAAGGCACCGGGGTATGGTGGTGGCATGCATGTTTAATCCCAGCACTCAGGAGGCAGAGAGACAGATCTCTGAGTTTGACATCAGCCTGGTCTACAGAGTAAGTTCCAGGAAGGCTCCAAAGCTACAGAGAAACTGTCTCTTTTTCAAAAATCAAAAAACAAAACCCAATACAACAAAACTCCAAAACTCGAGAAAAGAAAATATTCCTTCCCCCAAACACACCAAACTGTAACCAAATGAAAGCACTCTCTCACACACGTGCACACACACACAAGGAGGGGGCAGTTTGTACCATTTGTGTGCCTCTGGAGGTTACAGAATCAAACTGGGGTTACAGGGTAAGAGTTAGAGGCTAGACTGACTAAATACCAAGCCTTAGCGACATACTGTGGGTGGGGGGGACTGCTGATCTCTGGCCTAACTCACTGACCCCTGTATCAACAGAGCCTATGTCTCTGTTCATAACATTCTTCCTACCCTCACCTTCCAGGCCAGTGTCATGCACTTCCCGTTTACCTCTCTCCTCAGAATAGGCCTTCACCCACAGCAGGAATTCCTTCCTGTTTTCATAGATCTGAGCAAAATGCTCACTTAGGGGACCATGCAGTTGTGAGTCCTCATCTTCAGCGTCTCTTATGCCTGTTCCCATCCCCTTAGCTCACAACCCATTCTGTAGCTCTTACCCACCCAGCTAGTCTTATAGCATGATAGCCCTCTATACATCTCCTACCACAGTTCAGTCCTCTGATCCCTGGGTGGTCATCTGAGACCTCAATTTAGGGAGAGTGGAAATAAGACCATGCTCAGACATGCTGATGCCCTCCTCACTGTTAAATCTAGTGGCTGACCACACCTCAGGTGCCCACTGCTCCCTAATGTAAAAGAGAATGGTTTGGTGTGGTAGCAAAAAACAGTTTATCGGGCTGGGCGGTGGTGGTGTACACCTTTAATTCCAGCACTAGGGAGTCAGAAGCAGGTATATCTCTGTGAGTTCAAGGCCAGACTGGTCTACAAGAGCTAGTTCCAGGACAGGCACCAAAAACTACAGAGAAACCCTGTCTTGAAAATCAAAACAACAAAACACAACAAAAAACCAAAAACAAAAAAACCCCAAAAAACAGTTTATCGGGCTGGAGAGATGGCTCAATGATTAAGGGAACTGCCTGCCCTTCCAAAGGTTCTGAGTTCAGTTCCCAGCAACCACTTGGTGGCTTACAATCATCTGTAATGAGATCTGGTGCCCTCCTGGCTTGCAGGCATACATGTAGACAGAATACTGTATACATAATAAATCAATAGATTTAAAAAAAACAGTTTATCCTTGGGATAACTGTGTTAGGTGGTGTACTGGATAGTTTTATGTCAACATCATACAAGTTAAAGTCGTCAGAGAGGCAGGGCCTAAATTGAGAAAATGTCTCCATAAGATATGGCTGTAGGAAGCCGGGCTGTGGCGGTGCATGCCTTTAATCCCAGCACTCAGGAGGCAGAGGCAGGTGGATCTCTGTGAGTTTGAGACCAGCCTGGTTTACAAGAGCTAGTTTCCAGGACAGGCTCCATAGCTGCAGAGAAACCCTATCTCAGAAAAACAAAAACAAAAAAGATGTGGCTGTAGGCACCAGGCAGTGGTGACACACACCTTTAGTCCCAGCATTCTAAGAGACAGAGGCAAGTGGATCTCTGAGTTTGAGGTCAGCCTGATCTACAGAGTGTGTTCCAGAAACCCATTATCATTGGTTATCTGGGATGAATCTTCTGGGTTAGCAGCACATCCATTCCACCCAGCACAGCCTTGAAAGTCTCTAGGTGGGACATCTTCATTGAAGATTCCACAGTGAGGCAGAGAAAGGGCCAAGCTGCGACATTGCCTCCTGGGTGTTAGTTTGTGTGTTAATTAAGGCCCCCTTGAACAGTGATGGAAAGAGCTTCTTCTGGCCGGTACTCAGGACAGAGACGACCAAGATTTTCATCCCTTTGTAGCACCTGCACTATGAGATCCTGCAGTGTAACTGGGGCCTGGGAGCCCATCCCCCTGGATTTTCCATCTGTAGGCTTCTTGGGAAGCATCGAGGGAAGACTTTGTTTTCTGAATGAGGCATTAGAACTTGGTCCTCCCCATCATTGAACTCAAGTCAGAGCCAGAATGACTGCTCAGGCATTATTGTTTTTTCTTTCTTTAAATTATATTTTTGTGTGTTTTGGTATGAAGATGTCAAATACCTGAGAACTGGAGCTACAGATAGTTGGGAGCTGCCATGTGGGGACTGGGAATTGAACCCGGGTCCTCGGTAAGAACAGAAAGTGCTCTTAACAGGTAAAGGAGCTCTGTAGTAACTGGGTGTTTATGCACCAGTGTATATGCATAAACATTTGCAGAGTGGGATATAAGAAATGTTTAGAATTTTTTATATTAAACAAAAGTGATATTTGATATAGATGACATTTAATGTTTCTTGCAGAATGGAAACTGATCTTTATTCTGCTTTCCTGGATATTAGGCCAACAAGATAACTCTGCCAGTAAAAACAGTAAATCTGCAGTCTTGGAGACCTAGGTTCACTCCCAGGAACTATGCTCTGTCACCGAAAATGCTAGTCCTGCCAGGAAAGAAGATAGACTACGTGTAGATCATTAACTCAGCACTCTTCCTCCGTATCTGAATCTTCAGTTCTATAGCAGAACTCCTCTGGTGTCCTCTCTTTACCTTGTATCCTCATTTCAAGGAGACTAAATGAACACATCCTGTTTGAACACTCTTCCATTCCTTGGAAAAACTTCAGACTCATAGCCTATCCCCACTCCTAAGTGCCATGTCTAATGCCCTGAAACAAAATTTAACTGAAACCCTCACCATTCACACCAATCAGGTCAACAGAAAACTTCCTACCAGGTACCACACATCCATCACAGTCTCCTAAAAGTCAGAGACAAAACAGAAACCAAAAAAAAACAAAACATCCAAACAACAAAACCTAGATATAAATCCATACTGCTACAGGCACCTAGTTTTGACTTATCAGAAGAGCAAACATGAAAAAAATGGCATCTTGAACAAGTGGTGCTGACCTAACTGGATGTCTGCATATAGTAGAAAATAAATATATCCATACTGATCATCCTGCACAAAACTCAAGTCCAAATTTATCAAAGCTTTCAATATACAAAGAGATACACTGAACCTGGTAGAAGTAAGAAATAGCCTCAAAATAATTGGATTGGTAGAAAAATTTCTGGAAAGAACACCAGTAGTGTACAAAATAGGATCAATAATTAATAAATAGGGCCTCATCAAACTGAAAAGCTCCTGTAAGGCAACCTAGATAATGAGATGATGTGGGAGTCTCCTCTGTGTGCTGTGATTAGCATTAATGAATAAAGAATCTGCCTGGTGAGTTGATAGGGCAGAACTTATTTAGGTGCAGAGGACAGAACTGAATGCTGGGAGGAAGAAAGTCAGAGTAAGAGAGAAATGCCATGGATTCTCCACCTGAGACAGATGCCAGTTAGAACTTTGCCTGGTAAGCCACTGCCACTTGGCAATACACAGAATACTAGAAATGGGTTAAATTAATATAAGACTTAGCCAATAAGAAGCTAGAGTGAATGGGCCGAGCAGTGTTTTAATTAATATGGTTTCTGTGTGATTATTTTGGAGTTAAGCTAGCTGGGCAGCCAGGAAAAACAAGCAGCCCTCTCCCTGCAACAATGAGAAAATATTTTTACCAACTCCACATCTGACAGAGGTCTAATATCCAAAATATATGGAGAACTCAAGAGACTATATATCAAAAACAAAGAATGGAATATTAAATGCGTCCTGAAATAAACTTAGAATTCTCAAAAGGGAAACTCAGATTGCTCAGAAACACTTAACAAGATGTTCTTTTTTCCTTGTCTCACTGTACATTTTTTTTCCTGTAGAGTGGTTGTTTCTTGGAGTCCTGCACTTTCTAGAAGGGTAATAGAGACATAGTGAATTTGGAAGAAAGTATAGGGATGGATCATGTGAGTCTTTAGTCTCAACACTCACTGACGGTTGAAGACACATTCACTCAGACAACCATATATGGACTTTTTGTTTATTTTAAAACTGATTGTATATTAAAGAAAGAAAAAGCCTTCTATAATGCAGCTATGTCCAATAGCCAGGTCTTGTAAATTAAGTGGATGAATGGAAGATTACAAGACATTATGTTCAGAAAAGTAGTATGTATGTCAATTCTAGGCATCTTCATTAGAAGAAAGAGTGAGAGTCACTAGCTAATGCATACATCTTTCCTTGTATCATAACAAGTGGTTTTGTATCAAACAACAGCTGTCAGTTTCAATTTAGGAAATGGTAGTTCAGGAAGATGCTTTTTTCTTTAACTTTTTAAGAGAATTTTTTTCTGGTCTTAACAACATTATATAGCACTTGGGGATAAAGATACACCCCAACAAGCCTGCACTGGAGGCCAAGATGGAGAAAACCTCCACAGCCACCATGACCTTGCCCTTGGTGCTGTGGTAGACAGGAAGAAAGGTGACCCAGACACTGCAGAACACCAGCATGCTGAATGTCAGCAACTTGGCTTCATTGAATGTGTCAGGTAGATTCCTGGCCAAGAAAGCCACAATGAAGCTCCCTAATGCAAGGGAGCCATGGTATCCCAAGACACAGTAAAAAGCAAAAATTGAGCCCTTGCTACATACAATGATGATGTGGCTTTGTTCACTCTTGGCATCAATTTCAATAAAGGGAGGAGAAACTCCCAGCCAGATTGCACAGAGAATAATTTGGATGAGGGTACAGATGACAATAATGAAATTGGATGCCCTTGGAATCAGGTTGTACCTCATCCTTTTTCCGGGGATTGTGAGTTTGAAAGCCAGAACCACAGTCACTGTTTTGGCCAACACAGTAGAAACAGCCACACTGAATACTACTCCAAATGTGATTTGCTGCAGGATGCACTTAGGTGCATTGGGATGACCAATAAAGAGCAAGGGACACAGGAAACAAAAGATGAGTGAGACAAGCAAGGTGTAGCTGAGATTCCGGTTATTGGCCTTCACAAGTGGGGTGTCATGGTGCTTTATGAAGACCCCAAGAACCACAGATGTGAATGCAGAGAAGCCCAAGGCCATTAAGGTCAGAGCCATCCCCAAGGGGTCTTCATAGGTCAGAAAGCTCACACTTTTGTCAGTGCAATGGATCTGTTCTGCATTGGCATACTGGTCCTCTAGACACCTTACACACTGATCCACATCTGATGGAGAAAGAAAACAATGATTAATCAATATTGAGCATTTTTCTTGATAAGACATTTCAATTATGAGTGTTGAAACTAGCATTGCAGTATGTGCACTTGTGCTGAGGGTGACATTGAAAGTTAATGCTGCGTAGCAGTGCTTCCATTTCACAATACTCATTCATTATCCTTTAGTAGAATGAATCCAAATAATCACTACCTTGTCTATTAAATGTGTGTTAATGTCATCATTTGTCATGTTATAAGGAAAGATGTTTTTAGTAGAAAGACAGGAGATAGAGAATGAGGGAGAAGGGAACAGAACAAAGGAGAGAAGGAGTGGATATTTGGACCAAGAAGACAAAGCTTTCTCTGATTAGAGTAGAAACAGGCATAACCTGTGGGAAAATGACAATTTATAAAGGTAAAAGGTTTACCCCATTTTAGGATGAAGTGTTAAATTGGATTATCAGGTTAATTAGGACAGTCAGAAGGAATTTTTTTTTTCTAGCTTGACTTCACACTTTGATATCTGGACAATGATAGTCAGTCTCAGGTGGAAGTGGCTGATTAAGGCAACAGATCTTAGTGGCTAGCTTTGGGAATGTAATTGTCTTAGGCTTTATATTGCTCTGAAGAGAAATGATGACCATGGCAAGTCTTTTAAAGAAAAACATTTAATTGGGTGTCTTATAGTCAGAAGTTCAGTCCATTGTCATCTTGTTCGGATATGGTTGTAAGCAGATGGACCTGGAATTGTAGAAGGGGCTTTGATTTCTGTTTTTATTCATTAGCAACAGGAAGTAAACAGACTCACTGTGTGTTTCTTAAGTTTATATGAAACCTCATACTCTGCCTCCACAGTGAAACACTTCACCCAATAAGACCATATCTTCTCTAAAAAGACCAAATAACCTAATAGGATCACTCCCCATGATGTCGTGGGGGCAAATTTTATTCAAGCTACCATTAAAATCTAATGGTTTATAGCAAGGCAAATGGAATGTAAGAGAAGGATAGGGTTTGTCAGAGATGTATCTGCCGTGCTTGGGATGGCTACAGTCCTATAAGGATCACTAATTTGTATGTGTTTACATATAAAGTATCAAAAGAGGTGGTGACTATGAGGTCAGTTGGATTTATATGAGGCAAGTAGGAGGTAGAAATGAGAAAGGAAGGTTATATAAATATAATTTTGATGTTGGGAAATGCAAACATAATCTAATAAGTTAAATAAGTATGCTCTTAGCTGTGTCCTCATCTGATAGTAAGGATGCTGTACTCCTCAGTATTATTCATAATAAGCAGCAACATGGCAGTTCCCATGAGTGGCACGCAGTTGAGAGACCTGCCTCCAGGCTGCATCACCACCTTTTCTGTGAAATAATAATGAAATAATGGTATTCTGTCAATTATATTGTAAATAAACAGTGATTGGCCAATAGCCAGGCAGGAAGTATAGGTGGGACAACGAGACAGAAAGTAGAGGCAGGTCAACGAGAACAGTATAATTCCGGGAAGAAAAAGTCCATTCCTCTGCAGTCCTGGCCCAGCCACAGGCAGCAAGCAGGCACCCGAATATCCTCTCCATGGCCAGTAATCCCTTGTAACCTTAGAAGACTACATAGGTACAAGGGCAAACCTCAGTAGTTGAAGATCATGTACAGACACGAGCCATATCAGATGGAAGCACTTAGGCACTGCCATGACCCACACCTGTTGGAAGAACAGACGAGTAAATGCCAGCACAAAAATACATTCAACAAGTGAAAGAGCAATGTGGGACTGCTAGTGATCCTATAACTGTAAGACCTGAACATTCCAATACAGCTGAAACACAAGAAAACAGTCTTAATAATGACTTTAGAAAGATGGTAGTGGCTCTGAAAGAGGAAATGAAAAATTCCCTTAAGAAATCAAAAAAAGGACAAAGAAAGTATTGGAAGAAATCAATAAATCCCTGAAAGAAACAAAGAAAGGCAAGAACAAACAGTCAAATAATTAAAGGAAACAGTTCAAGACTTGAAAATTGAAGTAGAAACAATAAGCAAAGCATAAACTGATGGAATTCAGGGAATGAAGAATATGGCTAAGTGAACAGGAACTACTGATTCAAGCATTATTAAAAGAATACAAGACATGGAAGAGACAATCACAGATGTTAAAGATACAATGGAGGAAATAGATTCATAAGACAAAGGAAATGTTAAATCCAATTAGTTTCAATCATAATATATCCAGGAAATCTGTGGCACCATGAAAAGACCAACCCTAAGAATAATCAGGGTAGAAGGAGGAGAATCTCATCTCAAAGACACAGAAAATATATTTAACAAAATCAGAAAAAAAATCCCAACCTAAAGAAGAACATGTGTATGAAGGTACAAGAAGCTTACACAATACCAAATTGGCTAGACCAAAATACAGTCCACTAACCCCATAATAATCAAACACTAAGCAAACAGAATGAAAAAAGGAATTTTAAGAGCTGTAGATGAAAAAGGCCAGTAAACATATAAAGGCAGATCTACCAGAATAACACCTGACTTCTCAAAGGAGACACTACAAGCTAGAAAGTGCTGGACTGATGTATTACAGACAACAAGGGACCACAGACGCAATCACAGAATACTATGCCCAGGAAAACACCTAATCACCATAGACAAGAAAAGCAATGTATTTCAAGACAAAACCAGATTTAAACAATACCTATCCAGAAACCCAGCACTACAGAAGTGCTATAATAAAATCTCCAACCCATGGAAGCTTGCTACATCCATGAAAACACAGACAATAGATATCTCACAACAGACAATCTCAAAAGAAGGGAAACTCAAACACTAACACGACCAAGGCCAAAAAACACCAAGAATTAATAATTTTTGATCATTAACATTTCATAGTATCAATGTACTTAATTCGCTATTAGAAGAGTCTAAAATAATGGATATGAAACCAGGATCTACCCTTCTGTGGATTATAAGAAACACACCTCAACCTCAAAGACAGAGATTACCTCAGAGTAAAAGGTTTGGGACAAAATTTCCAATCAAATGAATCTAAGATATCATCTAGTGTAACTACCCTAATATCTAAAAAAATAAATTTCAAAGTAAAATTACTGAAAAGAGATAGAGAAAAACATTTTATATTCATGATAGGAAAATCCATCAAGATGAAGTCTTAATTCTGAACATCTATTCTCTAAATAAAAGAGCGCCAGCATTTTAAAAGAAACATTACTAAAGCTTAAATCACACATCAGACTCAAATGGACTTATGAGTCTACTATGACATATTTTTACCAAAAGACAAAGGAATGTACTTTTTCAGCACTTCATGGAACCTTATCTAAAATTGACACACACTTGGTCATAAATAAAATCTCATCAGATATAATGAAATTTGAATAACTCCTTGTATTATATGGAACCAGTATGGGTTAAAGTTAGAGTTCAGCAGCAACACAAACCAAAAAAAAACCCCATACAAACTCATGGAAATGCTCTCAACTGAACCATCACTGGGTAAAGGAAAAATATAGAAAGAAATTAAAGACATCCTAGCATTCAATGAAATGAATCCACAACATACCCAAACTAATGGGCCACTAGGAAAGTATAAACTAAGAGGAAAGTTCATAGCACTAAGTGCCTACATAAAGACTCTGGAAAGCCTGGTGCTGTGGTGAAGATCCTACTGCAGGGAGATGATGAACTGAGAGCTTTGGCAAGCTGGGAAACCACAACATGTGACACAGTAAAAAGAGTTACTGTTTGTATGTGACCCCTTTTTTGATGAAGAACTTCCCAGAGTCAGAAAGTCAGTGAAGATCCTGTGTGAGTTCATATAATGCAAATATAAAGATGAGCCACATTTGTATTTTGAGATGATAGGATGTTGAGATTCCCAAGCTGTGAGACATATGCCATGGAAAGCTGCATACAGGGAGAGGAACTAGCAAAAGAGAGATGTGTATAAAATTTTACAGGAATAGAACTAAGTAAGCTCAGCTTAGTTTATGGTGTCCCAGCCTTGGAAGAGGAATTGATCTAGACCAGGGACATTTTCAGAGGCAGGACTGAGCCAGAAACCTGGGTCTGAGAAGAGCTGAGACAGCAAACTCCACAGGAGCAGGTACAGGGGAGCAACCACTGAGCGAGTGGGCCAGAGCCAGAGACCACCGCAGATCCCGGCATAAATCTGGGACCTTCCAGGGAGTAGACACAAACCAGAACCCTTGCAGGTCTGTATGTGAGTCTGGGTCCTCTGAGGGAGTAGGCCTGAGCCAGGTCCTCTGTGGGTCATGGCATACCCAAGTCTGGGATCTCTGAATGGGTAGACAGAAGCCAGAGACCTTTGCAAGACCAACCCCTGTAACATGAGGACCGGCTTGTTGGGATATCTGTCCCACCTGGTACCCCACAGCTGGCATACCCCAAGGAAAATCACACACAAGACTCCATAAGATTATAAACTGATTGGCCCATTAGCTCAGGCTTCTTGTTAACTCTTATAGCTTATATTAACCCATTATCATTATCTATGTTAGCCACACGGCTCAGTACCTTTCTCAGTGTGACAGCTCACATGTTGCCTCTCTGGTGGTCTGCGCAGGAGTGGCAGAGGGAGCTTCCTACTTCGTAGAATACTCCTAGTCTCTTTGCTCCACCTCTACTTCCTGTCTGGCTTTCCTGCCTATACTGCCTGCCTGGCCAATCAGTGTTTTATTAAAATATGATAGACAGAATACAGATAATTCTTCCGCACCAAACCCTGAGGCATTGTCCTTTGCACAAGCAGATCCAGACCATGAACATTTACAGAAACAGGTCTGAGTTGGCAGCCTAAGCCAGAGCAAGCCTGAGACAGCAAAATCCATGGGAGATGGGAAAACCCCAGAAGCACAAGTGACCTCTAGGACCACTGAGTGACCAATGGGATAACTAGATCCATGGTACTTACTCTACCACCAGGAACAACCATCTCAGCCTTGGATCCCCTAGCACCTAGATTAATGACCAGAGTCACAGACAGCCCAAAACATATCATTTAGAATAAAAAGTGAGTAGACAAGGTAAAAACACATGCAAGAACAAAAAGAACAATACAACACCAGTAAAATCTAGAGACCCTTCAACAACAAGACTTGATCCACCAAATATAGACGAAGCAGAAGAAAAGGACCTAAAAATAACTTCAGGAGAATGTTTGAGACTCTTACAGAGGAAATGAGATATTCCCTCAAAAAATTGAGGAAAAGACAGACAAAAATTGGAAGACATTAGCAAATACTTTAAGAAAACCAAGAAAAAGCAATCAAACATATGTAAGAAACTATTCAAGCCTTAAAAACTGAAATATATACAGTTAAAAAAACACAAGCCAGGGAATTTATAGAAACAGAAATCATGAGAAAATGATCAGGAACCACAAATGCAAGCATAAACAGCAGATTACAAGAAATGGAAGAGAGAATCTCAAGCGTTGAAGATTACAATACAGAAAATAGATTCATCAGTCAAAGAAAACATTAAATATAACAATAGCTTAACCCATATTATCCAGGATATATGGGACACCATGAAAAGACCAAACCTAAGAATAATAGGTATAGGAGAAGGAGAAGAAATTCAAGTCAAAAGCAGAGAAAATATATTTAACATAATAATGGAAGAAATCTTTCCCAACCTAAAGAAAGATATGCCTATGAAGATGCAGAATGTATAGAGAAAACCAAATAGACTGTATCAAAAAAAATTCCCCTTGGGACATATTTATCAGACCACTAAACATACAGAATAAAGAAAGAATATTAAGAGCAGCAAAGGAAAAAGGCCAAGTAAAATATAAAGACAGACCTATCAAAATCACACCTGACTTCTCATTGGAGACAATGAAAGCCAGAAGGTCATGACCAAGCATTATGCGGCCATTAAGAGACCATGGCTGCCAGCCCAGACTACTATACCCAGAAAAACTTTCAATCACGATAGAAGGACAAAACAAGATATTTTATGACAAATTTAGATTTCACCAATACATAGCCACAAAATCAGCCCCACACAGTGTTAGAAGAAAAACTCCAACTCAAGAAAGTTTGCTACATTAAAAAAAAAGAAAGAAACCGACAATTCATGATCTCACAGCCAAAAATCCCAAAATATGGAAAAACATACAAATTAACATCAACAATAATGAAAACTAAGTTAAAGGAGATAGCAATCACTGGTCATAATTTCCCTTAATATAAATTGACTCAACTCACATTTAAAAGGAAACAGGCTAACAGAATGGATACAAAACAGAATCCATCCATCTACTTTATACAACAAACACACCTCAAACTCAAAGGCAGACATCACCACAGA